AAATATTAATCAAGAAACGAAAAAGATATGGCATCAGGGGACTCGTGCTGGATTGGCTGAAAAGGTATTTAAGTGGGAGACAGCAGTTTGTGAAATTGGGTGGTTGAGTTTCGTCCTGTTTGGACATTGTTCCCCACAGGGGTCAGTATTGGGCCCATAGATTTTCATTTTGTACATTAATGATAGATGTAAAATCTATCATTAATGATTAAATTATAATTAATCATTAAATTATAATGCCAATTATTAGTACCATTCCATTTACGGCTATGACTGTGAACCAAACCTCGATAAAACCAAGGCACTGCAATTACATAAACGACAAATAAATAACTAATAAATAAATAATTGTCAAAATAATTCATTGTCAAATGTAATGAAATACGTCCACTCCACGGTTACGCACGCTAAGCTTGCGTCATCACGCTCACGAGATACTTTCTCGTGGTTATCGTGGCTCCGTAGGTTATCATTGAATCAGAGCAAGACAAAAAAAATACATACAGGGTAATACATTAAAACAAACAAAAAATTTTTTGGGGGGGGGGGTAATCATAGATGAAAAAAAATCAAATGAAAAGCACATATTAAAAATGTACAAACAAAAAAAATGCTAGAAAGCATCGCAATAATAAACAAAGCAAAATCCGAAATCGCTCCACACACTTTACTGTTCCCTAGTCTACCATACTTTCAATATTGTGCTAAGGTTTGGGGTAACAACTACGAAACGTCACTACGGCCACTAACACGAACACACAAATGAACAATTTCTTCAGTCCAGATTCCTAAAATTTCCATACGTTGTGAATTATCAAACAGCGCAGAATTAATGCTCAAAGCTACAAACAATCTGTTGCCAATGAAAAAAGAAACCATTCAGTATTTATGAGGGTAGTTGACTGTAGTGGATATACAGTGGGACCTCGAGATACGACCACCCTGACATACGAGTATTTTGGGATACGAGCAAACCGCTGAGCAAATGTTGGCTTCGAGATACGAGCACGCTTACAGACGCCAATGCTAGGTGGCCGAGGACTTGGAGCAGGACTTGGAGCAGGACGCTGTCCCGGGAATGCCTCGGGATCCCCCCCAGAAGAGCTGGGTCTGGGTATCCCTGCTCCAACTGTTACCCCCGCTACCCGGGCCCAGATAAGCGGAGGATGATGGATGGATGGATGATTGGACGTAGTGTACGTGTAAGGGTACGCTACGTAATCAAGTGTCTACGTACTGACCAACTCCCTTTTCTCACCTTCATCCATCATCTCCTCTTCTTCCGTACATGCCGCTAATAGAACTCACATTTTATTTTATAATCACAGGAATCCTTATATACTATATTTTGTGTGTATGTATGTCTCTATAGCAATTAAAAACATGTTTTTTTTCCCCCATTTTTTAAAGTTCTGGAACTGTTTGATTCGAGTTACGAGCTCGGTTCTGGAACGGATTATTCTCGTATCTCGAGGTTCCACTGCATATAGCTATGTATATGTATGTGTTGTCGGTATATATATATGTGTGTGTATGGGTGTCTACATAGGTTTGCAAGGAAGATTTTTATTGTTACTCATTAGTTAAGGTGAAGGGGTGGGAATGTATAAGTCCAAAATGTATTTCTATGTCGTATGTTTAAATGTTTTGTTCTTTCAATATTTATTTTCATAAATTGACAATAATAATAATAATAATACGTTTGTTTTTTTTATCTTTTTGATTAAGAAAAACTTTGTTGGAGTCAGCAAAGTTGATATTTCTGGTTAAGAGTATAATAATCCGTTTATGCCTACGACATAGACTGCGTTGTAAATTTTGACCCCCCCTAACTGGCTATTACCACTCAGTTTTTCAACTAAAACTTAAAACCATACTGTATGTATGTATATCAGTAGTATAAAAAAAGAAGACGTTGGCTTTACTTTTTTCTCACTTCGTTTCGCAGCAAACGAGAGGATTCGCCTTCATTCCTAACAGAAAATTGGTCTAAATCTTAATAATCGGAAAAATACATTTCGAATAGCACTCGAGCATTCTTGTTACGATAATAACTCTCAAGACGCAAAAAAAAAAAACACCACATACGTTACCGCAATGCACGCCTAAGTTTTTTAAGATTGTACTTTAAGTGACTTTATCGCTGAAGAGAAGCTCCCTACCGGGGCAAATTTTGGCAGAAAAACGGAAAGAAATTAATTTTATAAAACGTCAGCCAGAAATTATAAAGCAGTGATATGGCGATAATTTTAATAATTGATGTGAATATTTACTTTGCTTCGGAGAAGGGCCGCGACGGTGAATTCAGGTATGTGCTTTTTCCTCCTCTCTTCCTCCTTTTTTCTGTCTGCCGACTTTCCTGTATCCGAGGTCTCACCGAGAAGGCATGGAAATGACGTCACCTCCAGAGGCGTGGACTGGAAAATAACGGTCCTATTGCCACCGTACGCTATAAATTGCCTTCCCCCAAGTCCGTATCCCTTCCATTTCATTTTTTTTTTCTCATAATGTACATTGTATTTGACACAACGTAACAATCAGTCCAAAATAAAACCTTTCATAATTGATGAAAAAAAAAATGGCATTTTTAGATAAAACAATATAATAAAAATTGCACACATCCACATATGATATTATAAAAACACATTTTGTAAACATATATTAATTTAAAATTATTGCTGTAATTCAAGGTGCTAATCACTAGGGCTAATATACAGATCATAGAAGTATTGAGTCAGACAGTACACTGTATATAACATATAATGTATATAATGAGATATTTAGTTTATATGAGTAAATATATATTCAGAGTTTTCAATGTAGGTAGATCACTTTACCCTGGTCTTTTAAAAAGTAGCTCCAAAAACAAAAAAGCGTGGACACCCCTGTATTAAAGTAATACTAAAGTTATTGGTGAGGTATTAAGATTTTTATTTTGATCCAATTATAACAGCATTTTCTAAAAAATGTGAATATCTGGTGATTTTTTTAAATTAATATCAAATCATTTTTTCAGTGTCATGAGGTAAATTATGCTTTTTATTTTTTGTACCATTCTGTATCCAACCTTTTCTGCAGAGGTGTTTTGTGTCTTATAGCATGACCTCATTTTCATTAAAATATATATATTTTTAAAAGATTTTACTTATTAATTATTATGGTTGTCACCATACCCGAAGCAAACAATACCAATATCTGTGAATCTCCAACATTCTTGATACTTATTTGATAACGTGATCAAAATAAAAATAAACAAACAGAACCCATGTACTTTTAAATTCACTAGTCTATTAAAAACTGTTGCAAATTGCACTACTTTTTGCACTGTTTCGGCACTACTGAAACAAGAAAGGAAGCTTAACGCATCAAACGTATTCATCAATGAACACCACACAAAACGCTACAGAGTCACACCAGCCAAAAAATGCATAATGAAGAAGAAAAAATATATATAAGTCGCACCTGAGTATAAGTCGCAATCCCAAGCCAAAGGATGAAAAAAGGTGCAACTTATAGTCCAGAAAATATTGTAATGTGAAAGAAATGGGGGTTAATTTCCCCCTAAAAGAAAAGAAAAAGTACATAAAAAAGTACTAAAAGAAAAGTACATGGAACATGGAAGAGCTGGACAGGTACCAATGATCAATAGATAGATAGATAGATAGATAGATAGACAGATAGATAGATAGATAGATAGATAGATAGATAGATAGATAGATAGATAGATAGATAAATAGATAGATAGATAGATAGATAGATAGA